ACAGTAAGTGGATTCCATGAACAATGCCAATTCTATTACCATTAGTCGATTCATTTTATAGTCTCAAAATACATACACAATCATAGTTAAAGTGCACAAGTGATTCAACTACAACAAGGTTAGTTTTACTTTTCCAACACCCATATACAACCCACACTGTGTCTACGGATATAAAATACTATGATTACATCGACAACAAAGCCTCGGCTATAGATCAAAATATAATACACGTGGGACAAAAGATACACGACCCCGAATGAAGTGGGGCTCACCAAATCTGCAGAGAAGAGGGTGTACTGCTATCAATAATCAGTGCCACCTGCTGCGGAACCACCTGTATCCATTAAAGATGCAGCGCCCTCGACAAAAAGGATGTTAGTACATATAGAATAGTACTAGTATGAATGACTAAACACCCTCTTAATAGAGCGAATGATAACATAAGTAAGGACAATCATAAAATCAATGGGAGCCTCAAACAATACCAAAATATCAAATTAGGAGCAAGACAAGTTTTCAAGTAAATTTCCACATTTTAAGTCTAGGAGATCTTAGCACCGATATACCACCGTGATCTTGAGCACGGAGTCCGATCACGGCCCGATCGGCTAGGCCGTCTCACCCAAAGACATCAACCACAATCACAATCATTATCTCAGTCTCAATCATTGTTTTAATCGTAATCTCAAGCATAATCACCACCATGTGTGTAGCATGGCGTACGATCACGACCCGACCGGCTAGGCCGTCTCACCACAATACCATGTGGATCGACATCACCATTTTTTAATAATCATCTCATCCCAATAAAGGAGAATATTTTCATCACATCAATCTCATCCCCATAAAGGGTTACAATCACACTTCGCTCCTACACCGGCACGTGTAAGTTCGGGGTTAGGTTTTTTCAACTTACCCTTCCTCGGTGACTAACGACACTCCCGGGGTGTTTATTTGTTTAAAGGATTGACGACTCATTTCATTATCTTTTATATATCATTCATTTCATTGGCACCAATGGCCACAACACAATGTCACTCTTGGCACGTTGGCCGTATTTTATACTTCATATTCATCTCTTTCACTTTCAAACATTATCACGGATCATCAACAACAGAGGATTTCTATTCAAGACTTTAAGTCCACATATTGAGCAAATAAGAATGTTAAGCACATTCAGATTTCTTACACAATTTGGCATAATAGCCTCCATTTGAATCACGGCTTAAAGATATAACATTTGGACATGGAACCCAGACTTCGAGCATATTTTCAAATAGAATATAACATAACAAGAACATTGGAATACATATTGAACATATATCTATCAACAAAAGGCTTATTCGGAATAATCAATTCATAATGAACAACTCGGGACTTATAAGGATATTGTGGGGTTCAATTCTAAGAGATGAGTTTAGCCAACATACCTCACCTTGAGCTATTTAAATTAATACAATATTCCGGAATTCTTAGCCTCTTCGATCTATTTAGAAATATAGCATAATTGAACACAAATTAAGAGAGAGTTTATGGTTCCAGCTCATTTGAGCATTTTATCAAACACTAGGTGGGTATTATGATTTCAAGGTCCTCCTATGGTGGATTTCTCCATCCTACTACCCAAAGTCTACCCAATTTAGCTCAACATTCTTCCCCCAACCCTTGATAGTACATGCATGCATAATGGACAACTCCCGCATCCAAGAATTGCTATTCTCATTACCTATTTTCAGTAAATCACGAAATTGAGGGATAGAGAGTAGAATCTTACCTTTAGGATGAAGACCTAGTGAACTTTCTTGTGAATTCTTCAACTTGGAGCAAGAGTTAATGATCAATAAGCTTAGGAACTTCCCCTCTCACTCTATGGTAATCCCTATCTCTAGAAATATCAGATTTTTGCTTCAAAAGTGACTCTTTGCTTCAATATATCGAAATAGGGTCGGGTCAAAAATTAGAAAAAATGAGCCCCGATGCAGATCCGCGGTCGCATATGCGACCGCATAACGCTTTTGCGGTGTGCAAAATGGACAACATAATGGCCCTCCGAAATTGGGCACTCCTGCCTCACTCTGCGACCGGTCTACGGTCCGTAGACCTATTCTGCGGTCGCATAATGCACCGCAGAACTGCCCTTAGGAATTGTTTGTGATGGGTCTATGAGGGGTTATGCGGTCCACAAAATGATTATGCGACCGCATAATGGACCGCATAATGGTCCAAAAATTTTGCCCAAATTTCTGCTTCAGTCTGCGACAGATCTGCGTTCCGCAGATCAGTTCTGTGACCGCAGAAATGCCCTGTACTTCCAAATTATTTTTCTTCAACTCCCCAACGCATCGTTCAACTCAAAAAGTCCGAACCGCGGACAATCATCAACATATAAGTCCACTTCGGCACCACGAAACCCCGAATTTTAGGTAAAGTTTTACGGTGCCTTACACTCTCCCCCACTTAAGATCATTCGTCCTCGAATGAGGGCCAAAATCCGCCATTAGAAACCAATGTGACTCAGCTGCTATATCATACACTAACAGTTCTAAGCTTTTGACCGACTCCCCTAATTTGCAAAATTTTCGCCAGAGTTTCCACTGCCGCACTGTTGCGTGCGCAATGTAACAGTGTAGCAACTTTAACAGTTGTAAGGAGTTGACTTGTACTGTGACCGGACGAACTGATAGCCATTTGTTCCCTCTGCAGTTCCTTTGACCGATAACATTGAAACTTGTGCTAGACATGTGACTTGTTATTTCGATCACTTTGAGACTTTGTATTAGATTTCCTATCTGGTTCTCATATAAGTTTATTAAATCATTAAAATACAAAGACAGATAACTTATCAAACGGGATGATGACTTTTGTCTTTTTGGCTCCTTGTACTGCCTCCTTTTCCAGTGGCAGTGCAGATTTTCAGTAGCCTTCAGCTCAAACATTAGATCACTACGGGGTTTTTAGTGTCTATCTTTTGATTTGCATGGTCCACTCTTTGTGCTTTTTCTTCCTATCTTTTCAAATTCTTAGTTGGATGGATGGTGATTTGAAGAGATGAAAAAGGAAAGAAATCAATAGCACAGTGAGCAGACTTCAATTTACGAGGAAAACAACTGGATTGTAGCTGGCACTTCTCCAACTTGTCTCCCTTTTCAGATTTTAGAGTACATTTTCAAGTAAATTAACATCTTTTTAGAAACTAGACCACAATGTTGCGCTATAGTGAGAAAAAAAATCACAGCTATTGGTGCACAAAACGTCCCGTATTCATACAAGATCCGAGAAAGGATCGTACCCCCCAAAGAATATGATATAGATAGTCTACCCCGACGTAAGTATTAGTAACTGCTTTCACGATTATACTGAAACAATAATGAAATAGCTTTGCACATTGGGAGCATCACATTATTTCCTAGAGCGTGTTTGGTTTACCTCATTATCAAAATTAATCTCAACATAAATTCTACTTAAATAATAGAATTTTTAATTATTTATACAAGAAAAAAATAATCTGTGATAACCAACGTTTGATTGCGTTTAGTAAACGCTGTATTGCTAATACAGTCACAAGATATGCAGAAATATCATATTTTGTTAGGTGAAATAGAATGTACAAAATAGAATAATCTTTAAAGTAAATAATTCCTACATGGTTACGCATATCAGTTCCTCTTATATTAGTCATCGCATAAATAACTACTCGTCAACCAAATAGAACTAAGCGTCTCCTGCTAAAATATGTTACAGACTTTCATATTCCCTTCTGTTCAAATTAAAAATAAACAGCAAATATTCCCAAATGCAGCCCACCAAAAAATGTAGTGATGGACACTTAGTAAAGTTTCTAATACACCAGCTGTACATTGAATCTTTGCTAGGCATGGCATATCATCAACAATTTGTTGTCTATTGTCTTTTAAATTCTGCCTCAATCCTGTTCTCAGGACCATACTTCAAGTTTCGAGCCTACTGAAACTTCCAAAATTGGCCAAACACAGAAGCAATAGTATAGTTACAAATTAAAGGCAGAATACTATTCTCCACTTTATTCTTAAGAACCGGAAGAGACAAGGTTTATCGTAGGCTTACATTCAAATGTTTAAAACAGTTTAATTATGAAAAGACTTCTTAACGTAAATCACGTTTTGTAAATAAAATGAATAAGAGGAATCATATATTAATCGACTCCAATAAATTTCTAATTTTCTATTCAATAATTCGAAGTTCGAATTCTCATGGTCACACTCCTACTCTTTTAACACCAAAAGTTTGTCGGAAAGCTTAGCTTTGAACTCACATAATTAGAGTAGCATTTCCTACATGTAAAGTTGTATGTGCTAATTAAGAGACAATTAATGCTATATGTTTAGCACTCTGGTAAGTTTTTTGATCAAGTTAATAGATACAACACTCCTTATAACAAATTTCTATAAGTATAGAGTATAAGTAGATTTAATTAATACCATCACCATGACTTCATGATATAATCAATTGTAATAAGTAATAAATTAGTACTTACTATAAACCCTATAAATGAACAACTTTTGGTGGGAGCTTGCTACCGCTCCCTGTGGGTCTAGCCAATCGAGTTAATCGAGCTAGTAAATTTTGAATATGGTGGGTTCAGAGGCGGAGCCAGAATTTTAAGCTTATGAGTTTGAAATTTTAATCGTTTACTAAGTTTTAAATTAATAATTTTTATACCTTCAATAAATTTTTAAAGATAAATATAGAGCTCGAACCAAAACTATTGGATTCGTCCGAACCCGCTACCAGCAATCTAACTCCGCTCATGAGTGGGTCAAAATATAGTAAAGTGAATAACAATAAAAGAAAAAAAAAAAAGTAGGGAAGACGAGGATTGACTGTTCCACTTTGAGGATCCATGTTGGGTGCATGAATAAGCTGTTATATTTCAAAGTAAAACTTGGGGCAATTACATCACGAGATTCCTATAAAATGCAGGCACTGATTTTCTTACACCCAAAAAAGAAGTCCCAAATTAAAGTAGTCACATACCAAACTACAAAGAAACTTAGGCAAAGACCAAGGAAACATTCTGTCTCATTCAAAAAACTCAACAAAAATGACTTCAAGATTGCTTCTACTTTTCCCCTTCTTCCTCTTCTGCCTACTTACTCATGTAAAGTTTAAACTATTCACCTAACTCCCATATGATTTAGTGTTCTTTTTGTGGAACTAGTCTAATGTTCTTTTCTGTCCAGGTCTCTTCTGATATTGATATTGAAGAAAACGAAACTCAGGTATTTCTTTACTCTTTTTCCATCACTAAACCAAAAATTGATACTTCAACTAAACAGCATAATTTTTTGTCCTAAAAATATGAAAAGTCATTCAAGATAAGTTGTGGGTCGTGGTTAAATTGATTTATAATTCACCGAACTTTCCAAAAAGAGTGAACTGTGTTAGAGTGTTCCATATTGGTTGAAAAAATGACCAGCATTATTTTTTGAGGTTGATTATCAAAGCTTGGCCCATCTGTCTTTTTGATTTACTAATGTAAGCCCCTCATTTTACATTATTCACGCTTCAAATGTTTAGGATGTCTACGTTAATTTGTGGACATGGTTGTTATTTCATTATATAATTTTTGGAAAACCCTCTCTAACCAGCTTCTAAAATACTTACATCATGAGCTACAGTTTGGCCAAAAGTTATTTTCTTAACTACAAAGTGGATGGACTTTAACTATGAATAATTTTTCTCTTACCTTGTTGTTTGACATTGTATGTGCAAATCTTTATTAGGTGGTGAAAGGAGCTAACAGGAGGCTTTTACTGTATGTAGGTAAGCATCAATTTTCTCAATCTGTTTCAATTTAAAAGGAATAGAACAAGAAGAAAAACTTGAGTTTTGATAGCTCTTTTTTGTTGGGAATAGATTGTGGAGGACTGTGCAAAGTGTGATGTAGCTCACACTCAAGGCCAAATGTATGCACCAGAGCCTGTGGGACTTGTTGTGTAAGGTGCAAATGTGTTCCTCCTGGCACTTCTGGTAATAGACAAGTGTGCGGCAAATGCTATACAGACATGACTACTCATGGCAACAGGACCAAATGCCCTTAATTAAACGGTGAAAATTCATATAATCGACCCCAACTTTGTTTGCGACTACGGCATAGTCGCCACCCATGTAGGACTTAATTAGTACTCAATCTTGTTTTTTCTATTTTCCAAGTTTGTTTTACTACCGCCCAAAGTGAGAATATGTGTTTTGATCTTTCTGATGTAAAAAGTTAATCCTGTGCGGGTCCTCGCATAACTTTAATGTCAAAGTTTCAGTTTCATGACTGACTAATGACTAATAGTTCTTGAATTACAGTAAAGTAATGCTCTTAAATTACATCATACAAGACCTATTCTACTGGCTATCCAGTATTCGGCGAACTTGAAAGGTTATCAGTATAAAGAAAACACAAGTTTTGGTTGATTGGGTGCGTCGATACATATGCTATGCTGATAGGACATACTAGCATGTATCCGAATAGTAGTGAACAAACATATTAGAGGAATTTTCATAAATGATTATTGTTTAGTGGATATTAACTAATATATTAGAGGAATTTTCATAAATAACTATTGTTTAGTGGCTATTAACTTCCTATAGCTACCATATACTTAATTACATCCTATAGTTGTCTTTTCAGTTGTTATGGCCAAGTATTTAATGTATTCAATCTATTGTATTCATGAATACAGTAGGAAAACTTGGCTAAAAAACAGGAAAACATAGTTGTACGTTTATGTATTCAGGTGTATTTACACTATGTATTTACGAATACCGTAACAGAAATCAACGTAAAAATAGGTCCCTCCAGCTATTTAAAAACGGAAAGTGGATAAATTAACGTGACATACTCCTAATATAACTCAACAAACACCATTAAAATACACAACATTAGCAATCCAATTTATGAGAAGATTCTGCAAACGTCAAACACAAAAAATAGAGCCACTTTCAGAGTTTCACTCCTTTTTTTCCCTCGTATCGTTTGATAATTTTTTTCCATTGATACCATTCGAGATTCTGCTTGGAAGTGATACATGTAACCACATAAATAGATGGCAAGTTTAACCAAAAAATTGAATACATATGTAATTCAATTCCACAAAAACTGTTGAAAAAATAATATAACTATGTGGAAAATTATACTAATACAGTAAAATACAAACGTTTGGAAATAAAAAAATATAATATAATCACTGAACATAGCTAAGTCTGAAAATATAATAAATACAGTAAAATACAATGAATACAACACTGTCAATCATTTAAATACACTAAAATATAGTAAAACAAAAATATACAGTTAATACAACATTGTATGTCATTTAAATACACTGAAATTAAGTAAAACAAAAATACATACAAGTTAGATTAACATAAAATATGGTATTTTGACTTTTTAATATAGCTTGAAATAAAATTATGTGGAAGAGTATACTAATACATAAATATAGTAGAATACAAACGTTAGGAATAAAAACAGAATATAATCACTGAACATAGTTAAGTCTGAAAATATAATAAATACAGTAAAATACAATGAATACAACATAATGAATATAACACTGTCTATTATTTAAATACACTGAAATACAGTAAAACAAAAATACATACAAGTTAGATTAACACTAAATATAGTGTTTTGACTTTATAATATAGCTTGAATGATATTTTTTGTATCTGTACGCAATTGAATTATGCTGAATATAACATGACATGTATATAGGAGGACATTTAAACAACCATTGAATACAATATTGGCTATCATTGAAATTTAATAAATATAGTAAAATACAATTGAATACACTACTGCCTATCATTCAAATATTGCAGAATATAGCTGGATTATAACAGGGATTTAAAACTATTAAACTATACTGAATATAGCAGGGATATGTATCAACATAATACAACTATATAAATACATAATAGAAGTATGTGGATTATTATTAATACATAAATACAACATAATATATGAATTAATAGCGTAACTTAAAGACTGTTATGGTTTCATTCATAAACACCTTAAAGACAAAATACATTCATGTATTCAAAAACGACAAATGTCGAGTAAAATCATGATGTATTCAATAATAAGCTGCAAATACAATCCGATTTACATGAAACTATTCTAAAACTATCTTCACAGAAGTATCCGAATATGTGATTTGCCTAACAATCTTTGCGGGTGCTTCATTGTCGCTTATGGCATCGTCGTCTATCTTCCGCATAGCATAGTCCCAAAGGAGGGCAACATATCTTTGACGGAGTAAATTGACATCAAAGGTTGTTTGTGGAACCAATCCATAAGTACTCAAATACTCTGCGCATGCTGTGACATACAACCCACAATCCCTGAAAAAGTAGATTGACACAGTTAAATACAGCAGAATACGATTGGCTTGAGAATACATATGAATACATTTAGGGTGAATACATAACTAAATATAGAACAACTAGTGTATTTAAAAATATTGTTGAATGAACTAAAATACATATAAATACATCTAACTACAAAATCACGTTAAAACGTAAAAATTAGTGTAGGAACTATCAAATACATATAAATACATCTACATACAAGAAGAGACAACCACTGTACAAGCTAATAATCAATGTTTGAGGATTCAAATATATAAAAATACATCTACAATTACCTTGTCGCTTTGTGTTTCTGAGCTAGTTTCTTTAGAGACATCTTTTCCCTTACTCCCTGAAGCATCACCCATGAGTTTTCTTCTCTTTTCCACATCAGGAAGTGTTGATTTTTTCGAAGATTTCTCAACTTGACCTTGTTTCGTAAGGTCATTGTGTATTTTTGTTCTCTTTTCGGTTTCAGTGGTTACTAATGAACCTGCAAATACTGGTTCCGCTTGAGTGATTTACAAATCGAAAGATGGACCATCGAAATTTAGTGCTTTAGTGGGTATACCTCTGGTAACCCTTTTCTGGGTTGTTAAATCAGCCATTGAAGAGGAAATTTCAAATTTTCTGGTGAAAACTAAACAATGGTGAATATTTTAAAAAAATATATTAAAGAAAAAAAGAAGAAGCTTTAACCGGCCAAAAGCTAAAAACTTTAACACTTGCCATAACTTTTTGGAGCAAATAAAATTGAAAATTGAGGAAGATAATGGCGTTGATAAAGGAGAATCGTGCTTCAACAATGGAGAGGACAATGTTGTGTGAGAGAGAGAGCGTGGAGAGAGAATTAAGAATTTTGTGGAGAGAGAACTGTGCGGTAATTTAGTGAGAGAATAAACTGAAAGAATGTGAGAGAAAAATATTAGATACCGTATTTTATGACTTAATCGTAGGGAGTGACCATAAATATATATTTTGCTATAAAACCTAAAAGATAGCTATATAAAATAATATTTTAAAATAATTTTTATTTATAATAAATAGGTTGTAAAACTTTGCTACAGGAGGTAAAATTTTCAAGATATTATCCATGCAAAGTGCAAACAACACAATTTAAGTCCATCTATAGTGGGCCGATCTATTAGTTAGAAGAAGGCCCAAACTTTGGTCCATAGTGTCTGATAGTCGAAGCCCCCGGGATCATTACACAAATATCTAGTTGGATTTACTGTTTACTTTTTTTAGCCGATATACATAAATATAATACTCATTATGTACAATTATATTTTTTTTATATATATAATTATATATTCACCAGCCTCTCTACCTTCATTAGGTAGAGGTAAGATCTAGGTACACTTTACCCTCCCCATACCTCACTTGTGAAATTTTACTGGGCTTCTTGTTGTTGTTGTTGTATAATTATATATTCACCAGCTATTTTTAGTATAAGCAGTTAGGTGTGCGACTATTTAGGTTAATTGTTCTTTTTAATACATGCCATTGATTGATCCTTCCATGTAGAAATGTTGCATGTTGGGATTATGCTTTATGTTGACTAATATACGAATTCTGCTACGTTGACTAATACAAAGCCTTATATGGGGTAATTTAGTGTTGCGTATCAACTCAGGCTACTCATAGGCTAGAATTAACTTATTTTTTATTTATTGGCATTAGGTAGCCTGATAATTGTATATCACAATAATAATGTGTATATCAAAATGTATACCATAACTTTAATTTTCTTCTTTGTATATATCACAATGTATATCAAATTTTTATTCCATTCTTCGTATATCAAAGATATGAAATTATAAATATAATTGTCTATAATTTATTAGTCTCTATATCCAAGTATATAACGTAAAAATAATCACATTATTTGTATATCACATCAAATAATGTGTATACCGAAATGTATATCACAACTTTATTTTTCTTCTTTGTTTATATNACAAGTATACATTGTGATATACACAAAAATACCAACAGATACCTCTTTGTGAATAATACAAAATTGTTGAAATTTTTAGAATAAATTAAATTTGCAATTTACTCATCAGCAAAAAACAGCGTGAAAATCAAAAAACAAAAGAGCAGAAGCATATATCTTATCACCTTGGCCAGATTTTATAATAATTTTAATTGAAAAGTCTATTATGCCATTGCCATTATAAATCTTCTCATTTATATAATACATTCTATATTATATACTATATAATATATTTTTACCTAGGTATTTTACTTATAATTAAAATAACTTTATATTATTTTATTTATAATTTTTATAATATATCCATACATTTAATTTTTTCGTGGCACTCAATTTGTTTAATCATATTCATACATCCGCATATTTTAAATATAAAAATAATAATAAATATTTATTTTTTAATATCTATTTGAAATAATAAAAACAGATTTGTTTAACGAATGATAGTTTATTATTGTCAATAAAAAAATTTAAAAAAAGTTTCAAAGATAGTTGTGTTTGATATTAAGTTTTTAAAGCTTTATCTGTTAGTATTATTTTCTTGAAAGTATTAATCTGATATGTCATTGTACTAAATATGGATATTTTATTTATTAGATCAATGGGTATAACTTGGCTGATAAATCAATGAGCTTTGATTTTATAATTTTTATTAAAAATATTTTATTAAGCATGATTAAGAACGTGGACTTGAAATTTGTTCACGGTAATGTTACCGATAAATTTAATAATGCTACTTATATATCTTGAAAATTAACGTTAAGAAAAAAATTAAATGTATGAATATATTTGTAGGCATGCAAAATTTATTAAAATTAAATTCATAAAATAATTTG